CCCCCTAAATATCTCTCTCAAGTATCCACTCCTGACACCAGCGTGATTCTAATTTTTTATTTTGTCAACTGAGCTCCCCAGACAATAAGTTTTTTGAAAATAATGACTCATTTGAACTATCTTATATCCTCAAAGCCCAGCTCAGTACCTATCATAGAGTAGTACACTGGCTAGTTCAGGGTCTTTTTGGTACTCACCATTTTAGCCTGAAGATCAAGCAGTTTTCTTACTCGAAATGGTTTGACTAGCAAAGGTAAAAAAAAAAAAGAAGAGAAAGTACTATGTATCTGGTTCAAAATAAAAAGAAAGCCTGTAGCTCATATAGCTCCTTCTTACAACACATCAAGAATATAAACACCCTGTTCAGTCAAGCCATTAAGCAGATGCTCTTTGATAAAAGTACTGAAAAGCAATTGCCACAAAATCCTTAGAACTGATGCTAATAATTAACTTTATAAAGGCCAATACAAATGCTAATTCCACAGAGTGAATGTAATATAATTAAAATGAAAATACTCACCATTCTCTTTTTTGGTAAGCAAATACAAGAAATGGCAGACATAAGGGCACTGTTAAAATAGAAAGATTTAAAAAAGAGAGAGAAATGATAAGAAAAGAAGAAACACATTTTCCTCAAATGTCAATCTTATAATGATTAAGTAAATATGCTTCTGGACATCATTGGACAACTGTTTTACAAAACTTCTCTTTTCATACTATATAGTAATGATTAAAAAAAGTTTTAATTGGCATCTTATTATGTCATTTTAAAAATTATTTTGGGGATATAACAACATTGCAGTTTGAAAAACAGAAAAACATCCTTCTACCTAACAAAAATTCATGTATTCCTTCTAGCAGTCCATATTTATTAAGATAGAAACTTAAAACTTTTATCCTGAATTCCCACTTAAAAGCATTTTCTCATGTTGTTTGGTTTTCAAAATGATCATTTTCAATGATCTTAATATTCCAGTGAGTGAATATACCATAATTTATTTAACCATTTAGCCCTTAGTTTGGCAAATAGCACACTCAATAAATATGTTACTTAAATTACTGAATGATTGGTTCCCTTATATCGTTTTATTTTGAGCGTCCATTTATTGAGGTTTTATTCCAGTTCAAGGGTCAGCAAACTCTGGTCGCCTGTTTTAGTAAGTCAGGTTTTATTGGAATACAGCCACACTCATTCATGTATGTATTGTCTATAGCTGCTTCCACCACACCAGCAGAGTGAATAGTTGTGACAGAGACAGTATGGCCCTCAAACCTAAATATCTTCTACCTAGCCCTTTAAGAAAAATATTTGTCAGCACCTGCTCTAGATGTTAGGAAATTGAAAAATAAATTATTTAATAGGACTATAGAAAGTAACAAAAGCAGACTTTTTTTAAAAAACATATTTTGGCAGTCGTAACTCTAAAGTTTAAAGCCTAAAGTAACATTCCATATTGCCTCTCCTCTACTTAGCAACAGTTTCAGAAAGACTTTGGACATACTTGTAAGAACTATGAATTTAAACATAGAATTCTTTTTTTTAAGGGAAGGATACATATTATGACCATTTCTGCCATATTCAACACAATCTAATAACTTTCAGTAAAAAAACTCACATCCCTAGGAATATGAACCATTGGCAATACTATTTATCATGTTGGGTATGAAATGAGTGTCACACAATCTCTTGACCTAGGCTCCAGCAGTATAGGAAATCTGACATTCTCCTTTAAACACATCTAGAAAAGAGAAATTCATATATGCCCCTAAGACTACAACTGCCTTTCTGGCAAATAGTTAACCACCATATCTGAGTCATTAGAGTCAGGCTCCCACCAAATTATATGAAAATGACTTTTATGAAGTAATCTTTTTAAATTAGGCTCCCTGTTTCTTGATTTGGGTGATATTTGCACGAATATGTTTAGTTTGTAAAAATTAATTGAGCTAGTCACTTATGACATGGGGAATTTTCTGTATGTATATTATACTTGAATAAATATTTTTTAAAAGATAGAGAAAAAGAAAAAAACGTATGCCCCCTTCCCTCCTGCCAAGCTGAGCAAGAAACTCTCTAGTGAGCACCATGAAAACTATGCAAGTATACTGCAACTGATTTGAGAAACATTTATGAGCAGTTCCTATTCATTCATTCACTCATGAAACAAGTATTTACTGAGTGGTGAATAAAACAGACAAAAAAGTCTGTTCTTATGAAGTTTATATTCTGTGTGCCATGAATAGTGTTACTAAATACTTGGGCTACAAAAGACTCAGTCCCTGACTAGAATTATTACCAGAAAGTGGAAAGCATGTTTTATTATTCCCCATTCTTAACAACGTATACATAAACACAGAATTCATTTATATTGCACTTTGGTCAGTTGATGAACAAAACCAATATGAGCTTAAGAGAGATGTCAAAGGTAAGGAAGAGTCAATCACATACTCATCATCATTCATCTACTCTTGCATACCACAGGACAAGCCTCTCTCAGGAATTTATAACAAGTTGGCCCTATGTAGATCTGCAGTTTGAATTTACACTAGTGAAATGACCAAGAACACCTCAAGTGAAGAATTTAAAGTGGTTCCAGCTTAGCTATACCTCCCAGACAAATCACACATCTGATAAAGGACTTGTATCTAGAATATAACAAGAACACTTATGACCCAATAATAAAAAGACAAATAATCCAATTAAAAAGTGGGCAAAGGATCTGAATAGATATTTCTCCAAAGAAGACATACAAATATCCAATGAACACATGAAAAGATGTTCAATATTATTAACCATTAAAGAAATGTAAATCAAAACCACAATGAAATACCACTTTATACCCACTAGGATTGCTATAATTAAAAAGTAAGATAAATAACAAGTTGGTGAGGATGCGATGAATTTGGAACCCTCCTACACTACTGGTGAGAAGGTAAATGGTACAGTCATTGTGGAAAACAGTTTGGTGGTTCCTCAAATTGCTAAACATAGAATTACAATATGATACAGCAATTCCACTCCTAGGTATATACTCAAAAGAACTGAAAGCAGGGACTTGCACATATATTTGTACACCAATGTTCACTGCATTATTATTCATGGTAGCCAAAAGGTAGAAACCACCCAAGAATCTATCAGCGGATGAATGGATAAACAAAATGTGGTGTATAATCACAACGGAATATTATTCAGCCACAAAAATGAAGTTCTGATACATGCTAAAACATGGATGAACCTTGAAGACATTATGCTAAGTAAAAGAAGCTAGACACAAAAGGACAAATGTTGTATGATTCCACTTATAAGAGGTACCTAGAATAGGCAAATTCATAGAGACAGAAAGTAGGTTAGAGGTTACCAAGAGCTGGGGGCAGACTGACTGGGAGGTTACTGCTTAATGAGTAGAGTTTTTGTTTAGGGTAATGAAAAAGTTTTGGAAATAGACAATAGTGATGATTATACAACATTGTGAATGTAACTAATGAATGCCAGTGAACTGTACAATTAAAAATACTTAAAATGGTAAATTTTATGTTATAGAAAAAATATAACAGGTTAAAAAATGAAGTACTGATACATGTTATAATATGGATGAACCTTGAAAACATTATGCTAAGTAAAAGAAGCTGGTCATAAAAGATCACATATTATGTGATTCTATTTTTTATGAAATATCCAGAAGAGGTAAATCTCTACACAAAAAATACATTATGAGTTGCTTAGGAATCCCTAAATAGGAAGATAGAGGGGTGATAACTAAAGCACATAGGGTTTTGGAGGTGATGAACATATTCTAAAATTGACTCTGTTCATAGTTGTACATATCTGTGAACATACTAAAAAGGAATGAATTACATACTTTAAGAGGGTGGATTGTATTGTATGTGAATTCAACCTCAATAAAGCTGTTTTTTAAAAAAGTATCCAGAGAGAAAAGGAGAAATGACAGATTACAATTAGAATGATTCAACAATGGAAAGGGGTCCATAGAATAATATTGTCAATGTTCGGAGAGAACTGAACTGTCACCGTAGAGTTCTACATATAACAAAACCAACTTTCATGAACAAGAGCATAGTAAAGACATTTTCAGATGAAGACAGAGAGCTGAGCATCGAAAGATTCTCGGTGAAAAAATATTCTAAAGGATACACTTTTAGACAAAGGAAAATGATCTCAGACTGAAGGTCTAAGATGCAAAAACAAATGATGAGCAAAGATATTGGTAAATACGTAGGCAAATCTAAACAAACACCAACTGTGAAGACAATAATAATATCTCATTTATGTGTATGTGGAGGAGGATGGAGAAAAATGAGCTAGAATTAAAACCAAACAATAGCATATAATCTGGGAGAGATGCGATCAGAGTTAAAGCATTCCATGGTCTTGTATTATTTAAGGTGAAGGTAAAGATACTGGTTATCTTTAGATTTTTAAGAAAAACTGCACAGAAATTAAACAGAATATTTTAAATGTTCATTAATTTATTAAAAAATAATAAACCTATTACATGCTAACATAAATAACGTATCTTATGAAAAATAACTATATTTTCCAAAAAAGGAAAAAAAAGGAAAAAGGGACTGTTTTACATTTTACATTATATATGCATGTTAAAATAGGTTCAATAACACCTAAAGGAACACACAGAGAAAGTGTGTTAACTTCAAGTAAGAATAGAAGGAAAACCACAGTCAATCCAAAATAAGAGAGATAAAGGGAAAGAATCAAAAAAGCAGATCATTTCAAAAGCTCGAAACAAGATATCTGACTTTACTTGTTATATCAATAATCACTACAAAGGTAAATAAACTAATTCTCCAGGTAAAAGCAAAAAGTCATCAAACAGGATTTAAAAATAAAACCTAGTTATATGCTATTTAAAAAAGGCATCTAAAACCTGAGGATATAAAAGGTTTCTAAAAAACCAGAAGGTGGAACTATACAAAGCAACTACTAGTCAAAATAAAGCCAGAGTAGCAATGTTAATATCAGACAAAACAGACTAAAACAAAAAGCATTTCTAACAACAGTTACGCCATGATGAAAGGTTTGATTCACCAGAACAGTATCAAAACTATAATTGTGCAAACACCTAATAATAGACTCAAAATATATATTGTAAAAACTGATAGAACTTTAAGGAAAAACTGACAATTTTGCTTTCATAGTTGGAAACTTTGAATATATCTCACTCAGTAATTGACTGATGGGCAGCAACAACAACAAAATCCATAAGGATACAGAAATTTTCAATTACAATAACCTTTATTCCCTCACTTTACTTCGACAACTCATCCCTGGTTACTCTGAACATGGCCATCATACTGAACCATTCCTTCCTGAAATCTTCAACTTCAATGCTACAACTTCCCATCATTCCAGCCTTTACATCCACTACATGTCATGAATGTCACCAGAGCATCCTGAACCACAGCTGAGTGTGCTCGCCATCTGGCCTCTTCTGTCTTTACCTTCTCTCCTTTTCTCTCTAGACACCCTAGTCCATCAGCTCAGTCACTCTCCTGCCTCCTTGTCCAACCTGGAAGAAATGACCTACTCTTGCATATTAGTAAGATCTCAGATTTGTGCTCTCTAACATCATCTGGGCCTTCAAAACCTCTGTACCTCTAATCATCTACTATTCCCATTTCCATCAGAAGCTATTTCAAAATTCACTCTCTCCTCGAACATAACATTCTTTCCTCTCCTCACTCTTGGCAGACCTTGCCTACTACTTGATTGCAAAATTAAAATATATATATATATATATATAACACCAAGACCACTGGGCAGGGCAGGAATTAATTATGTCCCTTACTCATCCACAAATTTATTAGCATCAACATCTATCCTTTTTGCTTATTGTCAGGATAGGTATCTCTCATCCTGTTGAAAACAAATTGCTATAGCTCTAACCCTGATTCCTAGTCTTATTTTGATGCCTCTCTCCTACACTGCCATAGAACCCTATGGATACTATCAAAGGATTTATCACCCTGTACTTACCTTTTCTTCTACTATATTTAAAGATCATCGAGGCTAAGCCTCTTGCTAGGTAGCTAACTTTAGCAAAGCTACTTAACTTTTCCATGCCTCAGTTGCCTCACCTCTGTAATGGGAATATCATTTTCCATAAATCCTGGCTCTAGTCATGTGACCCTAGGTAATTATTTGACTTTTCTATGCCTCAGATCCCTCATCTCTAAAATAGAGGTAAAAGTATATTCCTTGTAAGGTTGTCAAGAGGTTTAGATGAGTTAAAACTACATTTTATGTGGTGTATACTTAACACAGTACATTTCTGTTTGGTCTAGCCACATTTCCAGTGCTCACTAGACACATGAAGTTAGTGGCTACCATACTGGACAGCACAAGTATAGAAAACAGTTATTCAATAAATGTTTTGCTTTGTTTTTGTTTAGAATATTGATGTAAGAATTTAAAGAACTTTCAGACTCTGAGGACCAGAAAAAAAATACTTTAATAGTCTAACATATGTTTAACATTTTAACATCTCTGAAAACATGACACCCTATAATCAATGGCATGTGACAGTTTTAATGGCAGCACTCTTTCATAGTGGTTCATAAGATAATAATGCATCTTACAACTGATGGCATCTTAACAGTTGATGAAACACTGTATAAAGCACCTAGTGCTTGCCACAGAAGCCTCACATAAATTAACCATTATGTCTTATTCATATTTGTATTCCCAATACTAGTTCAATGCCTGGCACAGTATGCAGTTAATAAATGCTCATTGAGTGAATTTCTGATTCTCGAACTTTCTGGTCTTAGGACTCTTTACATTCTTAAAAATTAGAGAACTCACAAAGAGCTTTGGTTTATCTGGATTGTAACTATCAATATTCACCATATTAGAAATTTTAAAAAATGTTTATTATTTCATTAACAAATAAGAAGCTCATTATATGCTAACATAAATGATGTATTTTATGAACAAAAATTACTACAATGAAATAGTTTTACATTTCTACAAATCCGTTTAATGTTTCTGACAACAGAATACAGTTGGATTCTCTGCTTCTTCATTAAACATGTTAAGGTATGTTGTTCTGACTGAAGTACATGAAGAAAATCTAGACTCACACAAATATGTAGTTGGAAAAGAAAGGAATATTTTAATAGCCTTTACAGAAAATTATGGATATCGGTCTTTGATACTACACCAAAACTTGATTAAGTGGTAGTCTCTTAAGAGTTAGCTGCAATGTACAATATGAAGCTTTATCAATGAACTCTCTTTGTACTCTGTTCCATCAAAATTCAATGATATATTTTGCACTTTGAATGGATCTTTTACCTATGCATAATTTTATAACATCTTACTTGGTCATCTCGAAAATATTAGTTTACTAAGTTATCCTGAGCCTCCAAAAATTGACATATTTCATTACACAATATCTAAAAATCACATTCATTAACATTGCTACTACCAATCTCATCAGAAAAGTCTTTAAGTATTGGGAAGCTGTCAAGTTCACAGTGGCAGATACAAATTTTCCAAACTTATAATTTTCACTTGGAAGTTCAAATTTTATCATTGGCAACAAATCTTGCCAGTTGTTTTCTTTGAAATGACAGGCTTGCTTTCTTCATTTTTGAAAAACTGTCTGCCGAATACCCAAGTCTGAATAACCATAGTTTGTATGTCAGTTATTCTTTCAAGTAAAAATCAAATTTCATGAAAAAAAGCAAATAGTTTAGCTCACAACTCAATCACATGAGTGCTTTTCCTTTGGACAACTATTGTACTTTAGTATGCAGAAGAGATGTATTTTGTGCTTCCCATTTCATCACACAGAACAGTAAAGACATGTCTCAAAGGTCGAAATTTAATAAAATTAATGAATTAATTTTTACTGCTTCATTTGGGACATTCTTAAGTAAAACCAGCATTTTTGTTTTTTACTGCAGTGATGAATACAATGACCAATGGTATAGTTTGGCTCCACTGCCCCAATTTTTGCTAAGGTGCCAGCAGTTTTATTCACCACTGCTTTAGCACCATCAGTGCAAATGTCAACAGTGAAAATAGCAGATAACATCTTGATATTGCTGTAAAAATAATTTTGACCTCTCAGACCTCCTGAAAGGATCTCAATGAGCCTCAAGGGGTCCACAGATCATATATGAGAATTGCCAGTCTAGGACTTCATTCTGTTATACCTGGATTATCATGTTAGTTTCCTAACTAGTCTTCCTGACTCCTGCCTCCCTCCTAAGTCATATTGTTTGGCTCTATTAAATATTTCTACAATACTGCTTTAACCATGTTCTGCCCAACCTTTTTCAATTATTTCCCCCACAGGATAGAGGATAAAGTTCGATTCCTTAGCATCACATTCAAAGACCTCTACAATCTTTCCTTACCCAACTTTTTCAGTCTTACCCCCACCACCTCCGGACACCAACTGTAAGTCTATTTAAGGTCTCCTGAAACACAATTTACACATCTCACAACTTTGCTTGAAATATTTAGTCCTATTCAGTTATATCAAACATCGTTTCCCTTTATCAAATCTTGTATCCTATTCAACCTTCAAAGCCCAGCTCAATACCCACATACTTTATGATGCTTTTCTAATCACAATCACTCTGGTTTACAATCTTCTACTCCTTCCTGGAAATATCACAGCAATTATTATTCTCACATTTGATCATTTAACTCCTGAGTTACTTAACTTTTATGTGCTTTCCTTAATCCCCCCAACTGGATTATAAATCCCTGGAAGATATAAACCCCTGAACCTCTCTGCTAAACTTCAAATCTTCTACAGTGCCTCATACAATGCAACAAATACAGTGGAAATGTCAATTTTTAAACATAAAATCAATGAATGAACTCCCTTCTCAAGAGGCAAGAGGAAATCTGTTAGGTGAATGATTCATATGGTCTGTGAAGTACTGATGGTCCTTTAGAGTCTTCCAGGTGGACAGTAGATTGATTTCTTAGAGTTATTGTTTTCAATGGGAATAAGTATGCTATTGAATCAAAATCAGTCCAGTGGCATCTCATGAAAAGTAATCCTCTCCTTCTCATAATTTTGATGAGGATTTTGCAATGTTAAGAAAATGTAGAATAAGTGACCCAATGGACCTTGTGGAAGTGGTTTAAAAGGGAAAAGATGGCAATCACTGCTCTAAATCAGCAAAGAGACTCTGATGGGAAGTTAATTCTACCTGTAACATTTTATTTCCTTGAAAGAAGATATAAAGCAAATATGATAAAAATTTTTATATTTGTTAATCAGAGAGACAGGTGCAAAGGTGTTAATATTATTCTTTATACTTTTCTGTATGTTTGCTAGCTTTTAAAATAAATAAGGAAAACTAATGTGTGGCACTTTGAATCACATGTGGTGTGTCAATATACAAGCATATACCATTTGATTAGTGCATGATGCTGTCCAATTTTTACCTACCAGTGTATCATCTTGCAATGAAGCAAAAAAAAAGCCATAGAGCAAGTTAATTTTCTCCTTGTGATCAATGAAGTCAAACATTGCAACCAGCCAACGATAAAAAAGTACCTATTGAGAGACAAAATGCTTATCTTTAGAGAAATACAACTGGCACAGAAGAACTTAATTCCCCCCTCAGGGCTGTTTTAGAAGCCTCTAGCACAAACGAGGATAATAGATTTTATTTCTCAGTAAAAATTTATGTTTGAACAGAGTCCTTGCATCAAGCTATATTGTTCCAAAACTACAGGCTTTGCACAAAAGGCCAATGCCATTACTCCATAAGTGGCTCTTCCTTGCCATCTCTTAAGTGGTTCTGAAGGGCTTATCATCAAAGTGTTTAAAAAGATTACCTTGGTGCTACTACAACACTTGCCAACACAAAGCCAGGAGACCGCCTTAACCACAGAATCTTCTGATATTAGAGTTGCTGGAATCATGCACTTCAACATCCGAGCGTTTACAGCACTCCCTGAAAAGCAGACAAACTCTAAATTAAACTACATTTTAGTATCTTGATTGTTTCCTTACTATTATTCACTCTTGGTACTAAAAATCTCACTTTATATTAAAGGCAATAAAAAACGAGTGATACTTGACATCTTTTATTATTACAAAACATAGTTCAAAACAAAAATGTACTTTTAACTTCTAATATAAACTACAAAGCAAATTCTTTGGTTTTAATATTTCTATTTAAATAGGGAGAATAAACACAAACAGGGACTCTTTTTGGGGTGATGAAATGTTTGGGAATTAGATAGTGGTGATGGTTACACAACTCTGAATGTTAAAAAAAATTTTAAAAAACCTGAATGATACTCTTCAAAAGGGCTAATTTTATGCTATGTGAATTAAACCTCAAAAAAAAGTCTTATACTCATAGGAAAATCTCAAGGTCTTTTAAATTTCGTTAATATTTGTAAAGGCACAATAGATTCTGATTTATTTAAAGCTACAGACTGACATCTTGCATGAGCTGCTATGTTTAAGAATAAACAAATATATATTTGTATTCTCTTCAACCCCTCCCCCCTCCCCGGCAAAAGTGGGGAAGATAGCAGAATCGAACAGCCATCCTTGGAATTAGCTGGCAGTAGTATTCCATACTGGTCCAAATTTTCCAGTACACTCTGGCGTCCATGATATTCTTCTATATGGTAAGAGAAGTGATGCTGCAAATAGCTTTGTATACACCCTATATCAACTTCTGCTTATTAAGGCTTCAAGAATTAAATATGTATCTCATTAACTTATTTTTTTTTTGTATTTAAACATTGTTTTATTTGCATTATAGTGTGGTGATCACAACTATTCACTGAAAAAAAAACACTGTTCTCAACTTGTCATGCAAGTAGAATTCTCCAAAACATCTTAGATGCATGTGTCTTTAACCACTGTTTTATGCATTACAGTATGGCAGTCACATTAATTCACTATAAGAACACTGTTCTCAACTTCTCCCACAAGTAGCACTCAGAAACATCTTATACACCCTTTTTTTCCACCCTGAGGGTGAATACTTCTCTTTATTTTTTTAAATAAAAAATTGTATATACTTAAGACATACAACATAATGATATGATATACATATACGTAGTGAAATGACTACTACAGTCAGGCTAATTAACATACTATCACCTCATATAGCTACCATTTGTGTGTGTGATGAGAGCATCTGAAATCTACTCTTAATAAATTTCCAGTATTTACTACAGTATTATTAACTATAGCCATCAAGCTGTATATCAGATCTTGGGATTTATTCATCCTACATAACTGCAACAATATATCTCATCAATTTCTACCTCATCATTCTATGAAGAAAAGAGGAAACAAGGAAAGTAATGAATCACAAGAATAAAAATGAGCTTTCCACTCTTGTAGTTCCTTGTTTTTATATCTTTCTCCTACTCTTATCCCCTAACCCTTCTAAAGTCTGACACAGTCTGACCACTAACATCTTACACAGGTACCAAATTCAAAGAGAGAACTGAATACAGACTGTATTATTTCCCAATGACTTTTTAATTAATTTCTAAAGAGTCTAAAGTCCCTTTGCACCTAATTATGATGACATTTCTAGCACACTTGCCCCTGAATATGCATTTCAATTTGGCAAAAGAGCCACATGTAAAGATCTAGCAGTAGTGAGGGGGAATATCATAGAAATAACTGAAAGAGGAAAAAGCAATTAAGGAGGCCACATTTAATATCACTAAATTCTAGCTTAACAGAAAAATGAAAAGTTAGACTAAAAAGCCAGATTGTTTTTTAAATCGTTATATACAAACTTTCAAATCTGAAGCATGCACATAAAAGAGGCATGCATTTGCTACAAGACCTGACAAACATCATGAAAACCTTCTAATCATTAATTTCTGATATATCAAAAAAGAAAAGAGAAATTCCAAAATAGAAAATACCTGTACATTCTATACATGTTTTAAGGCGGGGAAGGGAAGAGAGAATTGTTCTCAATGCACACTGATCAGTTAAATATACATTCCTGGAAAGATATTAGAACCAATCTGAAACCACTTACAAGAAGAGCCAATTTTATTAGGTCAAATTTAACTTTCAAGGAAAACACAGAACTAATCAGGCAAAAGCGGAAAAGTAAAATATCTGGGAGTTATATCTTGAATTCAGCTAGTAATCTGCTGTTGCTTTAAAACACACATACATACACCCCTGAAAACATGAATCTAGGGTATACACAAAGGAACCCAATATGCAAGGGCCAGGAAACAGTACATAAAGCATCTAGTTTTGATAGTTGTCTTAATTTTCAAAAAAAGAAAAAAAGTAGAAAACCCAGCGTGATGCAGTATAAACACTAGAAGAGAAGTTAAGAGATCTGTGTTCTCCAGAGCTAGCTCTGACACTTAAGCGAGTCTCTTTAACCACTGAGGCCTGTTTCCTCACCTTTAAAATGAAGACATATGGGGTCTAAAATACCTTCCAAGTCTGAATTTGGATGAGAGTAGGTTAAAACATTCTTCTCAAATAAAAGGAATACTGGTCAGATGTTATTCTAAGAACTTCACACCCATTCCAAATGAACTAAGAGCAGAAAAGGAAGCATTTGTACAAAAGAAAAAGCATCTTGCATGTTAAGGTCATAGACACTAGAATGGAGACAGCATCAACAAGGACTTGTCATAGATAAGTGAACGAACCTAAAGGCAATGAAGTAGACCAAGTGATCTCTTAAGATGCCTTCCAGCAGCATTATTTAAATCAATATCTATGCTTCTTAAGAGAAATACTAAAAATAGCTCCCATGTATTCAGTGACAAGACTCCACACATTTATTTGTAGATATGTGATAACTAGCCATTTTCAGCATATGCACAGAGACTTTTGGCTCATAAGGTAGTCTGTATATTAGACAGGCCTATTTTGGTTTGACGAAGAAAATAATAAAAATAAAGAACTGCAACTCATTCCAATGAACGATCTCATTCAAAGTCTGGGAGGCAAAAATAGCAAACTGAAAACAAATATATCCTCTTGACATACCAAATTTGCCACTGAGTGTCACATTTAATAGAATGTCAATTTCTTCCGGAGCTAATCCATTCTTCCATGCCACATTTTCCACAGTTTTCAAGTGTTTTTCCAAGGTTTTATCTTTACTCTGTGAAGTTTTAAAGGGACCTGGAAAAAGGAACCATATTAAATAGTGGGACGTTTAAAATTCTTTCAGTGCTCAGCCTCGACAATTACAACTTGGGATACTTTAAAGGAATAGCTTTATGTATAAAATGTCTTTCTAAAAACCCTTCAAAGCCTTTAAAATTCTAGAGTATTTAACAGCAATAGCACCTGCAGTGAGGAAAACTAAACCATGCCCTGGCATCTCTGCTCTAAACTAACTAAAAGCACTGAGCTATATGCTATTTCAATGCTAGGGCGGCAGCTCCTAAAGGCTCTCAAGAGCCTTTAAAAACCCCAATGTCCAAGTTGCATCCCATACCAATAAAATCAGACGGTTTAAGAGCGAATGCCAGCCACCAGTGGTTTTTAAAGATTCTCGGGCCATCCCATGCACAGTAGTTTGAAAACTGCCCTGCCAGGAACATGCTTTGCTGTTGTATCCCTAGTACCTAGAACACTGACATGGAGTAAGTGGTCAATAAATGTCTATTAAATAAACAAAAGGATGGATGAGCAAAACTATGCTTTCCTTTAAAATTCTTTAAGAAAAAGTCTAGAATATTTTGACAGAAATAGGACTTTCATAAGGAAAATGATCTGTCTTACCTTTCTCAAAGTATCTCACTGCTACTTGCAGAGCATCTTCTGCTTGATCATCAGCATGTTCATAATCTTCCACTGGATTGTTTTGTCCATGTTTCAAGATGCTCTTTGAGTTGCTGAGGTCCTCTTTTAGTTTCCAGTCCAAGAGATTAGTCTGATAACTATTACTACCTCGTGAAGTTCTCTTTGGTGTCTCAGAGTTCTTAACTCTCTTTTGAGGTGACATTACTGCACATGTTCTATACAGAAACAAGTGTTAAGTTACCATTAATCAGTCAAACTGTCCCTTTACTCCACAAAGACAGGGACCACATCCGCCCATATTCCCAACACTTAGTGCACAGTAGCTAGCATGCAACGAGCACACAATAAAAAAAAAAAAAAAAACTGACAACGATCTAGGCAACAAAACCTTCAGATTAACGTTCTCAGAAAGCCCTTGACCTAAATAGGAATAGAGAGAAACAACTCTTCAAGGTAACATTCACCAGCTGAACTGGCCTTCTTGTAGGAAAAAAAAAAATACAACAGTTACGAGTACAGGTAGCATAGCAACTTCTCTTAAAATGGCTATATAGCATAAGCAAGTGCAAAACTAAGCCATCTCATGAACTCAATCTTACTTTCTCCAATCACTCATATTTTTCTCCACCCCACCTTGATTTTGCTTTTGATCTTTTATGTTCCCTACTTTGACAGTGTTAAGTTAAAACTGCATAGTTCAAAAGTCAAACTGGTGGGAAAACTAAGGATTCTCAGAATAGAAACATTCCCTCTTAATTAATTCACTTACTCAATAAATAATTACTGAGCATCATCTATATGCCAAGCACAGTTCTAGTTACCAGGGATAAGATAATAAAACAGTCAAAGCTTCTGCTCTCATGAAAGTTATGGGGGTGGAGAGAAGAGTCAACGAATAAGTAAATAATATTGAACATAATACACAGTGATACGATAGAAACTGGGTAGGAGTGAAAGCTACTTTGGAATAAGTGTTCAAAGCCTCACTTATCGACCTTTAAACTGAATTTGCATGCCAAGAAGGAACCAGCTATGTGAAGATCTGTGGAGCTATGTGGAGAGGGAAGAACAAGACTTGCTATGAACTTAAAGCAAGAGCTTTGGGTGTTAGAGAAACAGCAACACCAGTAGGGGCAGGGAGAAGTAGTTGACAGGAAAGAGGTAGAGGGTAGTGACAAATTAAGTCAGGAAGGCAGCCAGGGACTAGCATATTGGGACTTTTTGGCCAGGGTAAAGAGTTTGGATTTGAAGTGTCATGGCAACTATGGGGGAAGGGAGGCATGTTAAAGGAGTGATACCATCTGAGTTATGTTTTAAGACCGTTTTAGCTGCAGTGTGGGACAGAAATGTTAGGAGTCAAGGAGTGGAGACAGACCAATTAAAAGGGTCTTACAGAAGTCCAAAAGAGATGTAACTGTAGTCTGAACTAGGCCTAAGGTACAGCGGTGGAAGAGGTAGAAAATGATGGCATTCGTGATATGTTTTGGAGGTAAACTGGGCAAGGCCATGAAAAAT